CGTCAGAAGAAGATCAGACCGTTGCTAAGCGTCAGCACAGCCGCGTGTCTGAAGAAAGAAGATCTGATATTTACAATAATAATAATCCAAACGTGACCATGACTTTATAAAATGGGAACTTGTAGTGCAAAAGCACCACAGAAAGTCCTCCCTAAGATTATGTTCCGCCAGTCGGAGAGGTAATTGTTGGCTCTTGATACAATTTGACTTGAATATTTCATCTTGAGCACATTGCTCCGAACTGCCCTAGTTAAATTAATGAAATGAGAAAGGATTGCTATGCCAGCATAAAGAGACAAAAAAGAATCTGTTTTTCTCAGCATCAGTTTGAAGATGTTCTAATTTTTCTAGACGGCAAATTCTCCAACAATTAAAGAGGCCAGCTGCACTTTCTGAGCTAAGAATATTTAAACGCATAATTAATGAAGCTGCCTGTGAAGAATATGGAGTAGAAAGGCTGACGAGATTATTGTTTTTGCCCGCCGTTGTTTCTTTTAGCAGGTAGTATAACATACAGGTGCTGTGGGGACAGGGATGAAGATAAATCCATTCAGGTTTACTTGTTTGAACTGAACATGTAAGCTGGTGGTGGTCGGAGGGACGGGTGGTGTCGGTGTTGGGCAGTCTCACCTCAGCCAGGGAGCTGTGGCTACATCGTAGCTCATCCCCACCAGCGTGTGAATGGGTGGATGACTGACTGTGTTGTGACACACCTTGGGGTTGTTGTAGAACCCTAAGGTGTTATACAAATACAGGACATTTACTATAAAAAAGTCAGCTTCAAGAGTCTGAGACATAAGTTAGAAATATACATAAATGAAAATATCCCCCTGCATGATGTGCTGTAAAAGTTTTCTCTAAGTTTGTTTCAGACTAAAATAACCAACACTTATCAGCAACTTCAATGGGCTTCTATCTCCTTTGAGGTGAAGCGGATTTGTGCAAAAATCCTCTAAGATTATGGCATTTAAAAGTAGCTTTCCAGAGTTTTCCCCTTTCAGAAATGAGGTATGATTTTTCAGAAAGTCGTAAAAGTGATCTAATCTTACTTTGATATAATATAAGCAATACGTCTTTTTTTCTTGCTAAGCACGTCCCCGCCCCACAGAGCTCCATGCAATAGAAACTGAGTGCCGACCAGAACTAACCAGTAGCGTTAGAGTACCGCTTACATGCTTCAAATTTAAGAAATACCTAGGCTGATGCAGAGTTGATGAACTTTTTAGAAACAAGTAAGTCTCTAAAATATAAATATATGAGAACACAACATGACATGAGAATAATACTTGTTAAACAATGTGTTTTAGCTCTGTTTGTCGGCTACAGAAGGACTTAAATAAACAAGAAACATGAAGTCGCCATCTTAAAAAAAACGAAATGATTTGTGTGAAATGCTTGTCAGCCACTTAGGGAAGCCCATTCCCGCCACTCAGATTAAAATAATATATAACTATCTCATCATTATGACTTAGCCATCTCAATATAATGAGATACTATCTCATGATTATATATATATTTTTTATCTGAGTGGCGGGGATGGGCCTCCATCGCCACTAGATGGTGCCATTGGATGCGAGAAATACTCTGGAAAAGACTTTAAAGCTAACAGGTTGTTAAATATTAGCTTATGCAATTGTCTTCTGAAGTAGCATTAGGTTAGCGTTCTCGACAGTTCTGAAACATCATCTAGACGTTCAGAACCAAGTTTGATGACAGTCCAAGGCAAAATGTAAGTAATGGTCCAGGAAAAGATCTGCTCTCAAGCATTAGCATAGATGCTAATAATTTAGCATGCAAATGGTAACAGACCTGCTCTTTGCTGCTAAATAATACCACGTTGTGGCTGCATGTGCAATGTTTCACCAAGGCACACTGCTTTTTAAACCCCTTTCAGGACCAAAATATAGACTAATATGGTGGTTACACACCCTGCTGGTGAGGTATGGGTGACCAGAGGCTGATTCCAGTATAAAGAATAAAATACTTGATGTGTTGATAACAGGTGACTGATTGGTCAAACATGATTCTCTGACACTATCTCAGAACAAAATAATGTGTTTCTTTGACAGCATTTAGTGAAAACTTTACATCATTAGGTCCTCTTTAGCTGGGCCAGACCTCACCAGCGTTTCATAGAGGGGGACATGAACGAACGTTGATTTGGACTCAATTGTTTCAATAAATGTGTCGTAAGTGTTTTTAAGTAATTCAGAAAGAAAAGCAGCAGGACTCAGCCAAATTTGCCTTGTTTCCTAATCTCTAATTCTAAAGCAATTATTACCAGTGCCATGTTATAAAAATGTTTAGGCCTACATCCTACTCTCTGCTACAAGCAAAGGGGTTGTCCGTTGCTCTGATTGGTCCTAGTGCTGTCCAGTTGCATGCAGAGACAGCCGTGGACTCCGCCCCTTTGACAGAGCTCTCTATGGGTCGTGGCCAGACATATATAGTCTAACAAGTCAGTGTTTCCTGTGACAAAGTGTGTATAAACACTGCACAAGGCTCTTGTGTTAGTTTGAAAATCTGAAAGTCATTATTTTTATTCTTGCTCTCAGTCTGGAATTAGGATCCAGAAGAACAACGATTAAATCCTGAACGATGCTCTGCGTGTACCCTAGGGAGCGGCTCTTGTTGGGCAGATATTTTGGTATAAACGGCTCTCCGAGAGGCTCCTAAACACGTCACTGTCATTTTCCTTCAGTCTACAATTGGCTCACATTGATTTTTCTTCCATTATTAACCATAAACGTTTTACCCCAACATAAATAGATACTCCCATAATACTTTACTTTTGTGCCGTATGCAGAGAGAGGAGGGAGCTTGTTGAGGTGGAGACTCAACCAGTCTCCAATGGTTTATTGATCCTCTGGTTGTCCCCGTCTCTCCCTGCACGGGGGAGTAAACTGGACTGTTTTTTTTTTTGCAGTGATTGACACCTGCCTTCTGCAAGCAGTGTTTTCAATCGTGCAGTGACATTTTCAGCCAAGTGATTTTGTTTTGTTTTTGTACTGAAGCTTTCTTTAAAAGGACACAAGTCTTTCTGTGTGTACAACATGACAAATGACAAGTGTTCAGCCACACAAGCTGCAGCAAAAAGTACGCAGAGATTACGAAGGGCTCTGGTGTAAGTTTTTACCAAGACTGACAAAACAGCAAAGAGAAAGAAAGAAAACAATCTTAGAGGCAGGAAGTGGAGCTGAGACATCCCGGAGGGACTCGGACTAGACCTGCTGCTCCTCCACAGGAGCCAGCTGAGGTGGTTTGGTTGGGATACTTCCTGAATGCCTCCCGGTTCTGGGGGAGGTGCTTTGAGCATGGCCTCCCAGGAAGAGAACCCTAGGGCCAATGATCCCACAGGAGGAGCTGGCTGGTGAGAGGACAATCTGAGCTTGGTGCTATGGCTGCTGCCGCTACCGGAATGATCACAAGACGATGAGCAGGGATGAGAAACTACAACTTGTTACAGCTTAATGCTTAATATGAAGCTCAGTGGCCTAGTGGTACGAGTGTCCGTCCTGACACTCGGAGATCGTGGGTTCAAATCCGCGGTTGGGCCACACCAAACCCAGTGCCTCCCCACTTGACACTGCATTAAGGAGTTGGATAGGGGGTTAGACCCGAGTGCGGCCGTCTGCAGCTCACCCCTTTCCTAGGGGATGGGTCAAATGTAGAGAACAAATTTCGCCAGTGTGTGATGACTAGTGAGACTTTCACTGTAGAAATGTACAAAGACCAGCAGTCTGACCTTTGACATTCCTGATTCCATGACATTTCCTCTGTTCTTTGAGTGGGATTGTGTGGATTGTACTTTTGTTTGACTACAGCTATCACTTTGAGACAAAGACCAACTTCTCCATGGTCACTATAATGTATATTCCATCATAGGGTCAAATTTTGTTCAGGTTTAGATTAAATCTACAAGAATTTTGTTGCCAAAATAATTTGTTTAAGTTTTTTTAAATCAGTGTTTTCACAGAAATCCTCAGAACTTTAGTCAGTTGTAAAAGGAAACAATAGCTTTGGTTTAATTTGGAAAAAAACTGATTTAATTACAGATCAATTCCACTTTAATTTGAACCAATGGTGTCTGTTGACATCCTCTGGAATTAACCCCATTGATAGTCACTTTCTCTGTCCAGTTGTAACCCATATCCTGTTCATCACCAGCTAGTTAGAGAGCAGCAGTGGGATTTACCAGTAACCCACCAGTAGGCCCACTGCTTTCCTCACACTAAATACAAAAACAGCTGAGGCTCAACTCCCCTTTCTTTGCTTCTAAATACTGCTCATAATTCAGATTATCTCTTGATTGCAAAAGCTTCATCTGGCTCTGATGAATCCTCCACACACCATTAAAGAGCAGCCTCATACAGTAATCACTACACTGGTGGAAAAAACTGCATCCTATGAGTAAAACCGATTTTTAATCACCGAAGCGTAACATTCTGGCTCATCGCTGCTCATCAAGCCGCTTTACCAAAAAACACGGCAGAGATTGTGCTAATGAGCGGCCAGAGCAGATTCATCTTTCATTTGCAGGCACAAAAGGAGGCACTCTGCAGTCTGGTCTGCCTCTAATAGCAACATCATCCGTGGTGCAAACTCGATTTCTCCCAATGTTTCCATGACTCAACCAGCTGAAGCTCGGGCTTTCAAAACACTGCTGATGAACGCACTCAGAGAAATCTTAACTGGCCCCTTTCAGCCATGTGTTTAATGTTGGGGTTTGTTCCTTCTTGAGCACTTGGTGCTTCACTTATTAATGTAAATAGAAAGAACACATAGGTTACCATGTAGACGATTTCAAGAGTGTGTGCTGTCTTTAACCTTCTATGCATAATCAGTCACGGGGGAAGCCATCTCCATTCATCTTCTGATTCTGCAGAATCCAAACAAAGAGAAGCATGTCCAAACTGTGATCAGGTGTTCGGTGTGTTGTGAAACTGCTGCTTAAACCTATGTAATTTCACTGAAGCACCCTTCTACTTTTCTTCCTTCAGCATCTCCAACCGTTCCTCCTCTGCACTCGGAGCATTTTAAGCCCTGCCATGAGAAGGACTTGGCCTACTGCCTAAACGGTGGAGAATGCTTCGTCATCGAGACGCTCAGCGGTCCTCACAAGCACTGCAAGTAAGTCAATGCTTTAGCTGCTTCCCTCTCCTTTCATTTCCTCCTTGTGTTCTGAGTTTACCGGCATGCTCATTGTCGGCTGGCTTTGGTGGAAAAGCCTCGTGGACTAAACACTGATGATGTAGGCTTGATTTTTAATTCCTCAGTGTGTTGTGTGTGATTTAGTGGTGACCCGTGGTGGAATAAAACAGGGGGACCTAAAACATTGCTGGTTAGGATGAGCAGCTTTGTCATTCAGCCTCCTAAAGCAGTGTCCCTTTAAATGGGATGCAGCTGTCCTTCTTTTGACCAAAATACACACTTTATATTCTGCACACGTTTCTATGTAAATGTGGAAAAAGCACATAAAAGTGTATCTGTGTGTTGATGCCCACATGCTGATGCTTGTTGTTGATCACCAAAGCTAATAATGATTATTCATCTTTAACTTTGATAGTGTGCATTTTATTGGTTTCTTAAAGTGGCAGTGTGTAGTTTCCTGGCGCTAGGGGCAGTACACACGTTTCAGGGTAGTTTCACACCACATCACTGTCGCTTGTTTAAAAAACATTACGGTAAATGTTGTTACCCGTAGAGTAGAAAGCGGGCAACCTTGGCGTGACTCCTCATACTTTGATGGTCCTTTGGGAGGTGTACTTTCTGGATCTGCTCAGGGTTCTGCACCTGCTGATGATGTCAAACTACAGAAATACCCCTTGGCCAAATTCTGTTTGATTTGACTCTGTTGAAGAGTTAAGCAGTTTTGTTATTAAATTTGTGTTTCTTAATGCCTAAATGTTTTTGAACATGGTAACTTTTGTAAGTATGCCCATCATCTATTGTGATATCATCGAGAGGCGCAGGACCGGCTCACATAGAAGGAAACATGGCGTCTAAAATGGCATCCCCCAAAGACGCTTGACCCACACCCTGTGTACTTTAGACCCAATTATTATGGTTGTTTGTTACGAAGCCACCAATATTTTCCAACAGCTGGACATAATTTTATTCATTTTCAACAACATTTAGATGGATAGTTCCAGAGATTAATGGTTAAAACTGCACATTGTGTCTTTAACAATATTTTATGATTGTTATGAAGAGCACTGATGTGCAATCAAACATGGAGGGCTTTTGCAAGTCTCTCTTATACACTTTTATAACGGCCAAAAGGGAGTTTTCAGAAAATCTATTAATGTTTGTGGGTTGGTGGTTTCTGTCAGATGGACAAGATGGCGCCGGTGTGTGTGGTACGCCGTCTGTCTCACGGACACTCTCCTCTGTATATGTTTATTCTTTTTTTGGTTCTTGCGTTTTGTGTGGACAGTGCATCCCTATTGCTGACTTATGATCGAGCAACGCTTCTGAAACTCCGGCCTGATGTCGGTTTCATCAGCCCGGTGATTGTGACGAGCGGGGGGGATTTTAGTCCCCCGCGCTCATTTCGGAGCCTCTCGGTGCCACCCGTCCCTCCACGGTGTGTATCCGGTCATCATCAGCGAAGGAGGCGCTGCCGGCGTCGTGGCTGTCGAGGTGGGAAACATGTGCACCTACGTGCCAAACCGCCCCGGTCCTGGAAGGAGCTCGCCGGTCTGTGTGGGCCTGGACGTCTTCTTGTGACGCCGTCGCGTTTGTTGGATCCTCCACCATCCTGCTTGGTGCCATTGGCGGTCTTCGACTTGGATGCTCCGTCGCAACGTGTATTCCGGGGGTTTCGCTACCACTGGAAGGGTGCCAACCTTGCTAATCTGCGTCATGTGGACTACGTGTCAACTGCGCCCGTGTGTCTGGATTCTGCTGCTACTGGACTTAACACGTCATCGTCGGCTCACCTCGGCCTGGTTAATGCAAGGTTGGTAATGAACAAAACTTTTATTCTGAAAGACTTCTTTGAGGAACAAGGGCTCGATTGTTTGTGAAACCTGGATGCCGATGGGAGACACGAGTGCCCTGTTGGAATTATTACCTGCAGACTGTAGTTGTTTTAATGCGCCAAGAACTGCGGGCAGGGGCGGGGGACTCCTCATTGTTTATAAATCAGGTTTCAGCTGCAAACAGATTATCCCTTTAAGTCCTTTTTCTAGTTTTGAGGTTTGCTCTTTTGAACTTGGACCTTTTCCTCAACTTTTTGTGGCATTGATTTATCGCCCGCCTGGGCTGAATGTGGAATTTGTAAAAGACTTTGCTGATTTCTTGGCTATGGATGTGTTGAAATATGATCAGATTTTGATTGTAAGAGATTTTAACATCCATATTTGGTGCCCTGATAAGCCGATGGTCGAGGACTTTTTGCACCTGTTAAGTTCACTGAATCTTTCTCAGTGGGTTAAGGGTCCTACACATGTGAAGGGACACACTCTTGACCTGGTTCTTTCCTCTGGTCTTCAGTCCATTAATGTGGTCACGCTGAGGCAGTCGTGCCATAAATCCTGCTAAGGTGGCGAGATTCAGTGAGTGCTTTGGTCTAGCAGGACAGGATCTTCTCTTAGCCCACCTCCCTGTTGAAGAGTTTATTACTCATTTTGACACTCTATGCACATCCGTTTTGGATGTTGTTGCTCCCTTTAAGATTAGGAAAGGAGGGCATAGGGCAGAGCCGTGGGTGTCTGATGAGACCCAGGCCTCCAGGAGAGCTGAGCGAAAGTGGAAGCAAGACAAACTTCACGTGTCCTATGACATTTATAAAAAGTCACTTTTTGATTACCAGGAAGTGGTACGACAGGCTAGGATCAGATATTATGCCAACATTGTGGAATCTAATTCTCATGACCCACGCACTCTTTTTAAGGTGATTGATTCAGTACTGGAAACTGCAACTTCTGCCTCCAGGTCCACGGCTGCGTTGGCCGGGACATGTGAGGATTTTCTTCACTACTTTGTGGACAAGATAGCGATGATTCGGGCTGCTATTGTAGGCCGCACTCCTGTTTTCGTGGAGCCTATGCCACTTAGGGCAAACCTGCCAGCCTTCCAGACTATATCTATGACAGAGCTAGAGGAACTCATTTCTAAGCAAAAACCTTCTGGTTCCCCTTATGATGTTCTTCCCCCAAGGATGCTTAAGGAGGCTTTTTCTGTTCTGGCCCCTTATATACTGGTTATCTTAAATACCAGTCTGGCCTCTTGTGTGGTTCCCCTTACCTTTAAGAGAGCTGTTGTACGACCACTGCTGAAAAAGAAGGGGTTGGAGGAGGCTGTGTTGGCCAATTACAGACCTATCTCACATCTTCCTTACTTATCTAAGCTGCTTGAGAGGGTTGTATATTTACAGCTGGTTGCATTTTTAGACACTAACGAACTCTGGGAGATCTTTCAGTCAGGGTTCAGAGCAGGTCATAGTACCGAGACTGCACTTTTAATGGTTCTTAATGATGTTTTTTTAGCTTGTGATGGGGTGGGGGGGATGCTGTCATTCTTTTGATGTTAGATTTGTCTGCGGCCTTTGACACGGTCCATCATGACATACTTTTGGATCGGCTACAACATTGGGCGGGAATTACCGGTGCAGCCCTACAATGGCTACATTCCTACTTATCTGACAGGAGTTTTTGTGTCAGTGTAGGTGAAACCTCCTCGACCTGGAAGGGACTCAAGTGGGGTGTGCCACAGGGGTCTGTACTGGGTCCGCTTCTTTTTGCCATCTACTTACTACCGTTGGGGAATCTTCTTCGGCGGTTCGGCATGCGTTTTCATTTTTATGCTGACGACTGTCAGATCTACCTCCCCCTTCAGCAGGGGATCGATGGGTCAAAAACTTGTAGATGCCTTAGAGGATGTGCTCTCCTGGATGGCTACAAACTTCTTACATTTGAATGACGCTAAGACTGAAGTAATTGTACTTAGCCCTGGCATGTCTACACGCCCATGCGATGCTGTGAATCTGGGCCATTTAGCATCCAATATGAAGACCACCATCAGAAATTTGGGAGTGCAACTGGACTCAGCCCTTAAATTTGACGCGCAAATCAACCAGGTTGTGTGATTGTGTTTTTTAACTTACACCGACTAGCCAGAATTAAGCCCCTGCTGTCCAGAGTACATCTAGAGACTGTCACACATGCTTTAGTTCTTTCAAGGCTCGACTACTGCATTGCACTGTATGCCGGCCTTAGTCAGGGTGCGGTAGCACGCTTGCAGTTAGTTCAAAACTCAGCCGCTAGGTTCGTGACATGCACTAGGCGCAGGGAGCATATCACCCCTGTGTTGGCATCCCTTCATTGGCTGCCTGTGCAATACAGGGCAAAATTCAAGGTCTTGGTGCTGGCATACAGGGCCTTACATGGAACTGCTCCAGCATATCTTGGAAACCTTTTGCATAGGCATGCCCCCTCGCGGGCACTTCGCTCAGCCGGCAGGGAGCTGTTGATTGTTCCACGCAGTAAGTGCAGGTCATGGGGGGACCGTGCGTTCTCAGTGTTGGCACCTGCACTTTGGAACCAGTTGCCTTGGTGGTGCGTCAGTCACCCTCATTGGGGGTTTTTAAGACTCGCCTTAAGACCCATTTTTTTGTCAAGGCTTTTCAGGTTTAGCTAATTTTACCCAGTTTCGATGCCCCAGCCTCTTAATCTTTTTCTGGATTTAATTTTTTGCTTTTACTCTCCTCTTTTAATTGATTTTATGCTGGTTTTACGATTGTTATATTTTATTCTGATGGTTTTATGTTTTTATTGTGTTGTGTTCAGCACCCTGGGCATCTGCATTGGTTGCAGAAGGGGCTTTATAAATAAATGAAATGAAATGAAATGAATGATTCTCAATGACCGTGCATGAGTTGAGGAGTCTCGCTATCACCATGATTGTGAAAACTTTGCTAAGGTCAATGCTAGACGATTATCTGTGACTCTTAAGTTGTGAATAACTGGAGACCAAAATGAGAATCTGACATAAAAATGCATTTTAAAATGATTAATGCTTGCTGATACAACAGAAACCACTGATGCCTTGCAGAGAGAGGGTCACAGGTTCAAATCCCCATCCTTCCTGTGTGCAGTTAGCATGTTCTCCCTACGAGAGTGTGGGCC